CAACGGCCATTCTTACATTTCAATTCATTAGATGTGGGTTATTTCCTTGAGCTAATTCTTATATCTAAACTTCTTAACTTCTTATCATGTCTTCCTAACCTGTGGAACAATCTTATAAAGTCACAATAAGATAAAATGGTTTCAAACCTATCATACTTTGCTGGCTGCTAAGTGCAAAATTAAAGAGGCCATCAAAACAACAGATTGGACAATATAATGAATGTCAGAAACACTGGTATCAATTCAAGCAAGAATTACTTATACTCAATTTACATACTTAAGGAAAGGGAAAAGGAGAAGACTCATTTAGCTTTTCGTTAGTACTGTTTCTAGTTACGATATCACTTTATATAAAACATTGTTCCCTTTTCTCTCTCACACACGCGCAATGACAAAAAGCTCATCAAGTTAACCATATTCGTGCCCGAAATTGCGCATTCAAATGGTAGGGGTGAATAGGAGTAATGACTGAGGACTAATGTTACGTTCTGTTCTAACAACTTGCAATTACCATTGCTAGTTTTCATAAATATGCGTACATATGAAGGCACGTAGGCACGCATGATCATTCACACACACACACACACACACACATATATATATATATATATATACATACATACATACATACATACATACATACATACATACATACATACATACATACATACATACATATATATATACATACATACAAACAAACAAACAAACAAACAAACATACATACATACATACATACATACATACATACATTATATATAACATAATGGTATGTTGGGATATGTAGGTGAATTTTATTGACTCTAACTTGAATAAGGCTTAAAAAGTTAAGCCCCGCTCTAATGGTATCCATCGTATGACAGACGAAAGCTTAGCAAGCTTTCACCGGAATCAAGGGAAATTTCTTTGAAGATAAGAAGAGAAACTGGGCCTCTATTAATCTCCTTAGATAATATTATTGGAGGGGCTTTCATTTTGTATGAAAGTGCATGAAGAAGAGATTCGTTGGTGGATCTCATTGGATGAGAACGGATGAATCCCGTTGTACTGCAGTCTGCGTCAACCTGAACATCGTATAAAAGCCAAACGGCTGCAGTAAAACGGGATTTATCCGTCCTCATCTGGTGAGATCGACCAACGAGCTTCTTGTTCATGCACTTTAATACGAAATGAAAGTCCCCCCAACAAAGTCCTTTGGTACAGCATCAACAAGAATTTTCCAGTAAAGCCAAACGACAGACAGTCAAGAGGTATCTGCAATCATATTTTTGCTGAAATGCCCTTCCAAAATATCCTTTTCATACACTTTCACTAAAAATGAAAATGAGCCCAAAAATTTAAAATGAAATTCAACTTTTATCGATAAAAGTGGCTCGATCGTATATTTCAATGATAACTTTTAGAGACCATCAATAATTCTTGAATAAGAACCCTGGGCAGCTTAAGGTGATGTATGTACTGATATTTGAGATTATTTACACTGTGGAAAACCCCAATTGACCTTCCCTAAATCAACCCCACTTCCTTCTGAATAAATTGGTTGGTTGTCACATTGCATTCACAATCATCTCACAGCACTCACTTTACACAAATATCACTTGTGACTATCTCTCACTCAAACTCTTAGATCATGCTGACCAACCAGAAACAGAAAATCAAGCCACGCAAAATTTAAAAAATACAAGGAATCACTGAAACACTGATTGCTCCTGGTTTCCTTGCGGCAAGCAAATAATGCAAATAATGCTCGCCATATTCATTCTATATCAACATCTAAAAACTCTTCACCCTTGCTTGTAATTCATTCTTGAAGGAGAAATAGCTTCGTCACTGGGTCTCCCTTCTTTGATCATATCGACTATCTATAAATCGTAGCACGTAGCTAAGTGCTTCTTAGAACACAGCACACAAAAGTAATGGGTCAGTTTCATCCGAAATCTTACGAGCAACCTTTCATTGCTATTCAATATGGCACTGTCAAATACACTCGTTAATTTACCTATTTTCTGTGAAGGAAACAATAACGTCTTTCGAAATGGTCCTGTCAACCCCAGAGTGCCAAGATGTAACAGATTCAATTCACACTTTGCCGATTAAATTTGGCAGGTACACCGAATTCCTCGTTGCTTTCGAAAATCTGTCAGATACTAACACCAAATTTGTGCAGCATTTATTGAGGAGGAGAAGACCAGATTGCTGTGAGAAACCCAAACAACATATCATTGAGCTCACCTTCCCTTCGAAAAAAGAGAGGAAAGTACTGATTTATTCAGAAGTTCTAGGAGACCAAAAAATCTCAGTCTTATTGGCCTACCAAGACATCGACCGACTTTGAACCAATTCTACAGCAGATCTGATGGGGTAACTCCCTATCAAGATACAGTTGGAATTAAGGGTTGCTAAAAAATCAGTGAATAAAAGAAGCTGCTGAGATTTCTGATCAAATAAAGGGGCTAATCACCCCTCACAATAAGACTGTAACCAAGGTTAAAGAGAAACGATCAAAAGGGTCAGAAACAATGATGGTGCAGATCTTAAGACTGCTGCATGCCATGCAATTGCAAATGAAGGAACAGTTTCAACCCTATAGAAGCAGATTCAGGTCCCTAGATACCTTGCCTTCAGGAAAACGATATACTCGTTCTTATTAATGATATTGAAAGCGCAGGTTGTGGTCGCACGCTCGTAATTGCGTTCACTTACACACAAAGCCAAACAATTAGACTCTCGAAGAGATTCCTAGCATCAGAAAATAAGTAACCCAGTAGGTTTCGGCGATGACCTGCTAAGGAACCGCTCAGAATCACCTATTTCTTTCGTCGATGATAAAATACCGAATCAAATCTATCTGTTAGACACAAATGGTGAGGCTAGCCTCATACCTCATTCGAATAACGGTATTAGGCAGAGACCCATTATTTTCTTGAGACAACAAAAATGGCAATCAACACATACGGCACCAAGGAGGTACATATTGACTTCGGAATCTAAGGGTCCCTGAGTAAATTTTCAGCATAGTCGATTTGGTTTACACTTTCTTGATATTTCAACAACTCTGTGTGGTTTGTGTGAACAACCATATCATAGCTGCAGCCTCAAAAAGATGGATCTAAGCCAAAGTAGCTCCAGCGCCCTTCTCGCTTCAAGTACTCCAAAAAGACAATGTTGCATGGAACGAGTTTCTTAAAAAGTTTCCTGCCTTAATCAAACTCATTCCACCAATGGTACGTACCAAGTAGATCGTCAGCAAGAGTACTGAGGGCGGCAAAGGCCACCAAAACGCACGCAAAAGCTTATCCATAACCGGTGGCGATAAGAAGCTTCATCATCGTAGACAGATATCAACATTAAATAAAGTCCTGGCACATTCCTACATGCGAACTTCCAAAAAGCTAATTGTAAACCATTTTATCTGGCCAGGAATGCAAGTAGAAATCGGAAAATGGACAAATGTCTGGTGGATTAAAGGAACAAAGTACACATAGAAACCAAGACCCCGACCGGCATTTTTAGCCTGTCTCAGAAAGATTCAATCAGATTCACATTGACATTGTTGGTCTTCTTCCACATTCAAAGGAAAATCGCTATCTAACCATCATTATAGGCCAGTTCACACGATGTCCTGAAGCAATTCCAATTTAGGACACACGTTCAAGGACAGATGCCAAAGCTTTTGTTACACACCAGGTTTACAGATTTGGTATGCCGGCAAAAGATCGCGACCTACAGAGGCAGGAAATTCAAGTCGAATTTAAATTATTAGAAAGGGAAAGGATTCATACTGGGCCTATCATCCGCAAACTAACGGCTTGGTACAAAGTTTCCACCAGCCAGAAGCTTGTTTACGGTGCCAGAGGAATACCGATTGTTGGAAAGTAATCTGTCCTTAGAGTTGCTAAGCCTAGAGACTACGGCCAAGACAAACGCAACCTAAAGCCCAGCAGAGATGGTCTAGGGATGCCAAATCTGACAACTACCAAATGATTTCATCGCCATTACCAGCATGAGCGTACCACCTACAAATATGTCAATGTCAGAGACTACCAGGTGCTGCCACCGCTATCACCATCTTACAGTGGCCCCTTTCGTGTCATCTCCAATGGCAATAAACATTTCACTTTGCTGATAAAAAGTCATCAAGAGGTAGTAAGCCCAGACTGACTTAGGCCAGTTAGAATTGACGAGACGTAACCCGTCACAGAAATAAAGAGCACATCGCCAAAGCCCAAACTAAGGACACAGAAAACGCAGTCCCCCCATCCCATACAGCTGAGAAAAAAATTCACTTCGCATCTAAAACCTGACTAAACTCCCATTATCACATTCTTTCATTTCATTTTTTAGACCATCCGCCCCTGAGCTATCCCGTAGGGGGGAATATGGTACTGACTCGTCTCAATTAATCCTCACTACATCGGTTAGTTTTGTCACATTGCATGCGCAGTTATCTTAAAACACTACCTTTACATGAATATCACTTGTGAATATCTCTCATTCGGATACCTACATGCGTACCACGGAGTATTTAAGGCATGAGGAACTCTTGACGCGGCGACTACTCCCGGATCTATTGGTTTCCTTGCAGCGAGTGAGTTCTAAATTCTACCCGACATATTTGCATGTCGCCATTATATGTCGCCATTACACGGGGGCATCTTGCATTTCCGGTTTTATGTCATCATCTTCACATTCTTCGCCCTCGCTTGTAATTAATAATATTGGGTAGAGGACATCTTAGAAATCAAAACAAAAAATCTTTAAAGGAACGAGAGTAACTAAGTTCTTATTTAAGAATTGCTGATAATCTCGTAAACTACTCATATCAAAAATAAGTAACAAGGTCGATTGCAATGGCAAACACATTTAGATTTTCTAGCTTTCTAAACTACTAGTGGATCTTGAATAATAGTTATATTCACCCTAAATCGCATAAGGTGATGAAGCACTCAGTTAAATTTTCAGAAAATGATAGTAGGCCTCATGCTTCAAATCAAGTTCAATCAACCTTGAACCAGAAAATATTCGTATTTAGAGTGGACTGCCGATTCGACCTTGCCTAAGTCTCACCAGGGAATCGTGCCCAGATAATGTAACAATGTGTGAGAATACCTTTTCGAAGCAAGGCAATGAGACACTCGATGGAAACTTGAAGCCTAATCATATGATTGTGGAAAAATTAAAATATCAGTGTGGCCTAGGGTGAAGAGAGCCATTATTCAGGATCCGTTTAGAAGCCTATTTCATCAGAATGTAAATAATGTAGTAATGATTTAAGTAGCAAATATAAGTTTTATTCATTAACTCTCATAACAAAAATATAAAATAGGAGTCCTGGCTTTTCTTAAAATTCACGACTCCGCTGTCATCTGGCAATGTGATGTGGTAGAAATGAATCGATGTTATAAGCTACACTAACTGGGTTCGAATTCCGATGGTGGTGCTGATGAGACCTTGGTGAAGTATAAAACTGCATTACAATGCAATTAGGTTGATATAGCTTTTTGAAGCAAGGTTAAAGGAAATGCAATGGCATTGTGAGACCTATCCAACTTATAGTAAGAAAACTATACCAGTCCTTAAATCACATAAAAAAATCTCGAGTGGCTAAGCCCTTTATCAGTAAAAAGAGCGTGATACGACATTTAAATAAGTATCTTACCAGAAAAAGAAATCATTTAAGATATTGGACTGAAGTGTTAAAAGATGGCTGTAGTATAAGAGAAAGCCATATCCGAATTCTCAAACAGTTAACATAAGAACAAGAATTTTAAAGGTTGAAGGATGACGTACTAACCTAGTTCATATTGCTTTTCATTTAGTCATTAAAAAGGTTTGGACGATAAGTGACCTAATTTAAGGAAGACAAAGAGCCCCAACAAAGAGCTCAGTAACACTAAAACAGTAAGTTGGTCATTTATCTCCAGTGCAAGCATCCGAATGTCATTAGGGCTTATTATCAGAACTAATAAGATGCAGGAATGTGCCAAGTAACTAAATCGAAGAAGGCGAAGAATTTGCAAACCAAAGCGTCCGTAAAGTTATTGAGAAGGTCAATGAACTCACAAGAAATCCTGGTTGACTGAGCCCTTAATTCCTTGTGTACTAAGCTAACCGCAGTATTAATTCACTTGCTCTAGTTGAAGGCGCAAGACTGATATTTCAAAAGTAGATGGAATAATTAGGGCGCTATAGGATCAAAATTATTTAACAATCCCAAATTGATTATTTATTTTAAAAACTAATAGACAAAATAAGCAAACCTTATTCAACCCGAAATAGTTTAATGTTAAGAGATCTTATATATGAGATGTACTCACCCTATTTCGTTTAAGGTGATAAGAGATCTCTCATAGTCATATATTGTGTGGATTAATGTGGATATATTTAAATATAAATAAATAAATATATAGATATATAGGTAGACATAAAAATTAAATATAAGGAATAAATCTAATTTAGGACCCATGAAAGAGTAAAAACGAGTAATAATAATTTAAAAATAAGAGTATAATAACAGAGGATTTTTTACTAAAAATAAGATAGTAAGGAGTGGATAATAGATTGGAAATCGTAAGCAGAGAAGGAAAAAAAAGTAAACGTTAGCTAATGGGAAAAAGAGGCCTCGGTTAACGAGTGGATAGATAGACTACAAAAATAAATGACTTTAGGATTCATATGGAGATTAAAATAAATATCCTAAAATAGTATTTAGTATAATTCCCCGCATCAGACCGTGGATTTTGTACATTCTCAGACGTTTCGCCGGCATCGTCAATGAGTCTTGCAATTCTTGGCACCAAACTACAATTCGTCCCTTGTCTCTTTGACGAGCTGTCGCTGGTGCTAAGAATGACAAAACTCACCGGCGATGCTGACTACGATGCCAGTGAAACGTATGAGAATGTACCAAGTCCACGGTCCGAAGTGGGGAATTATGATAGCTACTATAGTAGAGGATTCGGACAAAATGTACACAACTAAGTCGCCTTGGCAACACGACAAAGTTGCAGGAACGAGGTCAGACCACTTCTACATCAGTTTCATTGTGTTGGAACCAATAGGTACTCACCAGTCTGCTGGCAGATTCCTCCAGATGACAAAGGTCCTGACGGCTGCATTCCAACCTCCTCTTCCACATCGCCTGCTCCGCTGGCACAAGTAAGACAGGAGGCTGAGGCCGCCGTCGTTGAAGTTGGCGAAGGAGACGAAGATGAAGCAGAAGAGCACGACGAGGAGGAAGATGAAGTAGAGGAGAAAGTATTAGCCTGCAAGTTAACGAAACCAGTCTGACCAACATCCTGCTGAAGACCAGGAGACAAAGTCGCCTGCAAGCCATTAGGCGACAGCACTGCCGTATGCTGCTGCATCAATAAACCCGATTCAAGAACGATACCAGGTTCTAGGCTACTTTTACCGTCGATAGCACCACCACAAGCAACAGAAGCTACAACCGAACTGACAATCCCGCCAAGAGCAAACTCTTCTGATGTAGGAATAGGAGTGAAATTCGCAGAGACGATAGGCGAAAATGATCCAACAGTATCTCGAATTGACGTGACTGTGAGTCTGTCTGAACGAGAAATATTATCGTCCACTTCCTCATGACGAATAGAGATTGGGGGAGGCTGGTTAGCAGTGGATGCCAGCGATGTTGCTGTATTCAACATTGGAGTGGTAGCGGAAACCGCCTTCTTCTGTCTCCTCTTAGCAGTCTTGGGTTCAGGTTCAGACAAGACCGCTCCAGAGGTCAATGATATTAACTCGTTTGGTGAAACCACGCTCTGTGATGGGCGCTTTTTCTCTGAGATTTCAGAAGCTGTACCTGCTGTAGCTCTGCGCTTGCCAGATTGATTGCCATCGGCGCACATTCGACGGTTCGAAGCCCCGGTAACAGCAGAGGAGCCACGATGCGAAGCAACGAGGGCTCGAGCATCGACGCCCAGCAAGCCTGGAGGGGGACGAGCCGGAGTGATAGCAGCAGGACGAGCAGCAGGCGGTTCTTCGTGGCCATCAAAGTTGAAAGTGGTCTTGCCGGGGCGAAAACCATTCAGAGAAGCGACCATTGAAGCGGCTTTTGACGAGAAAAGACCAGTGGCACTGTTAGCGAAGTTGGCAACTATCGCAGATTGGCGCGCAGATGAAACAGTGCTAATAGTGGTAGAAGTTATTGTAGTCGAAGTCGCAGTGGCAAAAGTAGGAGCCACAAGTGCGGAAGAAGATGAAGAATTTAAGTCATGACAAGTAGAGGAAGAGGAAGAGCAGGATGAAGAGGAAGAGCAGGAAGAGGAAGAGGAAGAAGAAGATGAGGAAGAAAAAGAAGAAAGGGAAGATGCCAGAACGGCAGTTCCCATCGAAGCTGTCGGCGAAGCACAGGTCGACGGAGCGGGAGAAGAGTTCGTCGCAATTGCAGAAAGAGCAGCTGTTCCGATAACTTCCTCGTTCGAATTTGAAATAGTCGAGCAAGAATTCGCAAGCATAGTCGGAAACGAAGAGGAAGATGAATTGGAGGCAGCAGCAGCCGCGGCCGCAGCAGCAGCCAAAAGAAGAGTTGGGTTGAGTCGGCCAAATCGCCGCTCATCCTTACACTTTTGTGCCATACGTGCGCGAACGGCAGCAGCAGATTTGTTGAACCGACGCCGAATGGTCGCTATGAAAAATTCGGAGGTAGGAAAAACACCACAATCAATTCTGTACTAATGTATTAGAGAGCAAGTGGATTAGTAAATCAGATCTTTTGTGGTGACACTTGTCAACGAAAAAAATTATCGACAATATTATCAGCATATAATTCAATGGTTGCTCTGTATTCGCAGTAGTGAACGAGTTAACGTTCATTTTAAATAATCAGATCGTCTAAAAGCTCGATACGTTTATGTTTTTAGTCACCTTAGGCCACGTGAAGTGATAAAGAACTGATTATTACATTTTTCCCAAAATAATGAGTAGACCTCACTTCTCCATTGAACTTCACTCGCCTTCCCGAAGGTATTATCTTCCAGGATGGACTGCAGTTTCGACCTCCTCTAGCTTTCAAAGCACCCCCTCCCAACGGTAATTCTGTCATTTGCATCGTGTAATTTTAGCGTATTACCAATATCCCGTATTGCCCGTATTGCCCGTGGATCACGGGTCAGAGGTGAATTTCAGAGAAGGCCAGACATCCAATATCACTTTTATGGTGGAATCGTCAATAAGGCTACTACAATCTATTGAGCTATCTATAATTATAGTAAACCATTCATGTTAGCCATTTTGTCAAATGAAAAATGGATTGCCTTCAAATTTTAGATTTTTTTGTAGATGTGTTTGAGTCACTCGTCAAATGCTTTGAATACGAGTTAGGATAAGTTCACTCAAAATTCGCATTACTAAACATTTCGAATCTCATCCTAAGATAGAATTCGTAGATTAACTGGAGTAAATCAGCAAAGGTTAATTTAAAACCTATGAATGATATTGATAATTAAGAAAAATATTCATAACGTAGAGAAAGGAAATAGGCAAGCGACAAAGAAAATCGAAGCAAACATGATGTCAGCAAGAAAATTAATGAATAAATCTTGATTTGTTGAAAGATTAAAAAAATGGAGGGCAGGGTCAGACCATTCGGGTCATTGACAGAAAGATAGTCTGAAGTGAGCTAGACAAAAAGGCACACATAAGCGAATATAAAGAATAAAGAAATGTATGAAAGGAAATAAAAAGACGAGCATAGTTCCAACGCACGTTAATGCGAAAATCATACACACACACACACTCATATATATATATATATATATATATATATATATATACATA